AGCATATCACTTCAGGTAATCATCTGCAGGCTGTTTGTCTGGCTTATGCTTTCAGGAAGTGGCCTTGCTGGGGCTTGTGATCCCAAACTTGGGGTTCTGAAAGGCATTTGGCTGTTAATTTAATTGGCATCTTCAGGTGGAAGTCTTCCTAGTGGAGTGGGGGCATGTGATGTGACCGGACATTGTGTGTTTTCTTCCCTTAGGAACTGCTTTTTGTAGTGAAGGGGAAGGTGGTCACAGCTGCATTCATGGTCCCATGTGGAGGCTCCTTTCTGGCTGCTGCCTGCTCACTTAGGAGTGAGGGACTCAGCAGAGACATTTTAGTGGCTGTTTGAGGGCCAAGATGATTAATAGATCTGATTTTGAGTTCTTTCTGACTGGGACTCTTAGCCTGTGTCTTTTAAATCTGTGTGATTTCTGTTCCTCATATAATAGTATGATTCAGTTGTGCCCAGGCACCTCTTTTTCTTCTGCTGCCCTCAGATCTAACTTCATATCATTGCTGTTTCTGCCCTCTCATTTAAATGGTCTTGCTTTCAGTTTGGAAAATGACACGCTTGCACTCTGCTGTTTAATTAAGTCTTAGAAGCTGCTCGTGTTCTGTGAGTGGGCAGCAGAGCCTTTAAAATTTTGACCTAAAGTTCATGAGACTCGTTTTGAATTGGTGTTAGTTTTAATTTGTCATTCTAACCTTGTGTTTCTGAAGCATCATGAGTCACTGCCTTTTTAAAGACTGGGGAATGTCCAGAAGAGAGATCCTTTCCAGCAGCCAGAGGAACAACCTGAAGTTTCAGTGCTTTATTTTAGACTTGATGCAACTTTGCTCTGACAAACACAGTGTCATGGGAGTTTGAAGAAGTATGTCTCAAATCATAGTCACAAGCAAGAGCAACGCACTGGCCTCCCTGGTTAAAATTTACAAAGTCTCTTGAGTGGGGTTTTTTGGATCTCCCCACCCAGTTTTATAACTCTTGGGGAATGCTGAGCATTTTGTTTCTTTGCAGCGGTAGTACAGGCTTTTCGGGACCTGGTTTGGCTGTGTCCCCAGTGCACGGATGCGGTGTGTCGGGCCCTGCCCAGCTGTGAGGATGCCATCCAGGACAGTGAGGTAAGGTGGCTTTGTGCCTGGGGCTGGCAGCTGTTGAGGATGGGTGGACAATGACTGTTTGGCTTTTGCAATTGGCAGGACAAAGATCAGACATCTTCAAAAGACTTGTTCTCTCCTATCGGTTTATTTCATGTATCATGCACTATCTTTCTGGTAAACAGCACCTCTTTGCTATTTTTCCTGTGGTTCCTTCAGGGCAAGCAAGCGCTGATCTGGCTCCTGGGTGCACATGGTGAGAAAGTCCCAAATGCCCCCTATGTTTTAGAGGACTTTGTGGAGAATGTGAAATCGGAGATGTTCCCAGCAGTGAAGATGGAGCTTCTGACAGCATTGGTGCGACTCTTCCTGTCTCGTCCTGCTGAGTGTCAGGACATGCTAGGGAGACTGCTCTATCACTGCATTGGTGGGTTCCCTTCATTCTGTTTCACTAAAGCTGTAGTACAAGCTTTTTGGGACCTGGTTTGGCAGTGTCCCCAGTGTGTGGATGCTGTGTGACAGCCTCTTAGCTGTGAGGGGACCATCCAGGATGGCAAGGTGAGGTGGCTTTATGCCTTAGGTTGCTACTTGACCCCAGCTGCCTGATTGATGAGTGTAACAGACTTACACTGTATCCCTGTGAATCTGTTTTTAGTTATTAAGGGTTAGTACTTTGGGGAAATCTGGATGATAGAATTCTCCATAAATTGCATCTCTCTAATTCCCAGAGGAGGAGATGGATATGGCAGTACGAGACCGAGGATTGTTCTACTATCGCCTTTTGCAGTCCGGTGTGGAAGAAGTGAAACGGGTCCTGTGTAGCCCCAAGTCTGACCCTTCTTTGGGGCTCCTGGAAGACCAAACTGAGCGACCTGTGAATGCATGGGCTTCAGAGTTTAATACTCTTGCACCAGTTTATGGCAGAGAACGCTGGGCACTGGTCAAGGCTCACCAGCCACCAGAACCTTCTTACGCTTGTTCTGTTACTGACTCCAGGAGCAGAGACACAGGTAACCTTCCTCGCCTTGCTCTGGGATCTATTTTCCCCTTGTCAGTAGATGTTCTCCCGTGGGTTGCTTTGGAAGAAGACCAGAGTGCTTCCAGAATGCTGTCTTAGTGTTCTGTCTTGTGCAGTGCATGGCTGATCACTGCTGAAGGCACTGTGCTTCTAGCATTCTTCATCTGATGGCTCCATAGGATGTTCTTTGTGAAACGGGGAGCTGCGCCTTAAATGCTGCATCTCATGTGTTTGTGGTTTCATTTCAGAGTCACTGATTCCTGAAGGGAATAAAGAAGTCCTCAAGGTTCATCCCGATACAGGCAGCCTGACCTTAATTCCTGATGTTTACCTGACTGCAGAACGGTTTGAGAAGACCTGGCTGAGCTTGGACACGAGCTGCCAGCTCTCTCTGCCCTGGTGTGGGATTGTTCATCCGGATGCTGTACAGACGGCTCTTCATGTTGTCCACATCCAGACTATTGCTATGAGCAAAGCTGGTGTCCAGCCGTGGAAAGCTTATCTCAGTGCTCAGGATGACACAGGTTGCCTCTTCCTAACGGAGCTCTTGCTTGAGGTGGCAGATTCGGAGATGCAGGTTTCAGTGAAGCAGAGCGAGGCAAAGCCGGAGGCTCTGCAAACCTTCGTCTCGGTGTTAAGGACGGTCCTGGGGGCCGTAGCTGGACTGGGGTCCTGACTGTTCCCTTTTCCCAGTAGGGTGCTTGCTCAAGGCACAGGAAAAGTTTCTTTTTCTGGCCTCATTTGCCATACCTGATGCTGGTTTTGTACATTGAAGCTGTGAGAGGGTTAGCAGCCCTTTCCTGGAGCAGAGCTGGGCCTGGCAGGCTTGTGTGTGTGTGCGTAGCAGCAGGTACAGGATTGCTGCAGCTGGTGAATGGTCTGTCCTCCCTCTGGGCTGGGGAAAGGACAAGGTAGCACATGAGCCCGCTGCTGCTGGTGTGAGTCACAGGAGTGGTGGCATCTATGGTGATTGTCACAAGATATGAACGTGACCGATGGAACCAGAAATGAACAAAATTCAGGGGTGCGTTTCGGACAGGTTTTTTTCATGAGAGTTGTAAATAATTCAAGAAACAGTTCAGAGACTCCAGGACTCTGCTCCTAATCTCACATTAAGAGGAACAGTGCAGTGGAGAGAGAAGTATTTAGTTCTTGGCTCCCTTTACGTGTGATTTAGTTTTCTGTCTGATAGGTGGATTTTGATAGTAGCCCCGTTATGAGTGAACGGAGCTCTGCTGTGTCAGAGATGGGTGGACAGGGACAGAGATGAGTGCTCACTAGAAAAGGTATTTTTATTTCTCCAGAGAAAAAAGTGTATTTTCTAGTTGAAATGTTACTGTAATCATGAATCGCCCTCTCTGAAATTCCCCCTTCAGGGCTACCACACGAAAATGCAGGAGCGTGCAGGTTGTGCATGGTGTGTTTGTGTGAGTTAACAGGGCATGAGGTTTGTAGCCTGCATCACTTCGGCCATTTCAATGAGCTGTCAGTCCTTGATACTCACACTGATAATGGAAGAATTGTTGTTTAGATAATTAACCTTTATGGAATATTAAATTTTTGCTGATGCTGATTTTTACCATTTGTTACTTTGTCACTAGAACGGGTATTTAAATGTTTTCTCTGTACTTACTTCTGTGCAGTGCTGTCATCCTGTCCTCACCATACACTACATGAGATTGTACAGTGCTGCGTGACTACATTCTTGCAGTTTTAAAGTTATACTTGTTTTTTGAAGAACTTGTTGATAGCACTCCATCTGCTCTACTGAAAGTTGCGGAGAGTCGGACTTTGTACAGTGTCATGAAAAGTGTCCTTGTCACAGCCGTGTTTCACACAGTGGCAAAACCCTGGAGAAGGCTCCTTGGCTTAAGGTCGAAGTGCATAGGTGACTGTACCGGGGCTTTATGGTACTCTGAGGAGTGGCTTTGTTAACCCTATTCTGTAAGATTTCTTGTAATTTTTAATTTCTTTTAATGACTGTATTGTACCTTTAAATTGCAATGTGCCTTCCACACACTTCACTGAAGCACTGCTGTCACTGTTAAACAACAGCTTTAGACTTTACTTCTGATTTTCCTAATAAAAATGAAAATCATTCCTGGTTGTTTTCTGGAGTACTTGCTCGTTCAGCTCTGAAGTCTGTGGGATCAGGTCAGTCTGATCAGTACCGTGGATCCGGAGAGGACTGCAGTCCTGCTCTTGCCTCTTTTAAAGAGCAATTGTGCAACAATTCATTTCAGTCTCCTATGCCAAATTACTGTAACAGGTGAGCTACCTGCGGGTGAATTCAAAGGTAGATAAGTCAGCTGTACCAGGGCTCCTATGACGTTCCAGTGTCTTGATGCATATGTTGTATTCCTGTCCTGGAGAGCTGCACTGGAGCATTGACATTATGCAGTTTTCAGAAAAAAAAACCAGTTGATAACTTGTTGGCAGCTACTGTTTAATCCACTGTGGCTGGAGCAGGTGTAGTCTGTCTGTGATGGGATTTGGAGCTTCTAGCCTGTTATCCAGACACCTTTCTTGATGAATGAAGAGGTCAGCAGTCTTTGATAACTTGTAAATGTTTATTTCAGTTCATCTGAACAGAAATGACTTATTTTGAAACTAAACCACACCCATAGCTTGAATGACGACAGTTAAGAGAATAAATATTGGCATATCATACTGTCCCGGGGAGGAGTCTGGGGTCATATTCTTCCCAGAAGGAAAAACCTGTGTGGCTCTGGGAAAAGGAAGCCAAAATCCAGAGGCAAAGCTCACCTGCAAAGAGCAGGGCTGTGGCGGGGAGACACACGGCAATGGCAACCTTCGAGGAGCAGACGGAGTGCGTTGTGGAAGCCTTGTTCTCTGACCTCCTGGGTGACGATGAGAGTGACTGCCGGAGCCTGGAGACGGACTCGGGAGGTAGGGCCTCCGGGGGAGGGAAAAATGGTTTGTTTGCTGCAGGTGACAGGAGGGATTTGACTGAACACTTGAAGGAAGGAGGCTGTAGCTTGAGGTTGTTTGGTTTCCTGCAATGCAGGCTCATGATGACTTCCAAGCTGTCTCTGTTGTGGGGGAAAAGTGAGAGCAGGGTAAGGTGGTTTGAATCCTGGGCAGCCCACAGCCGCAGTTTTCCTTGGCAGGGTTGGGCGATGGGGGCTGTGGGGATCAGCCGTCCCGCTTTCCCCTCCTTGGGCTGCGGGTGCTGGCAGTGCTGGCAAGGGAGGTGCCACCAGCTGCTCTGTCCCACACGGGTCCTGAGTAACTTGCTGTGAACCAGTGGGGTGGGAGAGGTTTTAACTGTCCTTATCAAATACAAATACTTTGCCTAAATACAAAGTCTCTCTTAGCATATGGCTCATTTCCCTCTCCTGGATGAGATGCTTGTGTCTCTGCCTCCACTGTCCTGAGTGCTGGGAAGCTGCCCCAGAGCCCGGGAGCCACAGGCTTCTGCCCAGGGCTGCGAGTACTGGACCAGAGGAGCTAAACTGGGATGAGTGACTGGATGAGGGAGGGTGTTGGAGTAGGAAGTGATGTCTTCAGATAGTCGTCCACTGCTTTATGTCGAAAGATCCTGCTTTCAGTTCCCTGTGACTGTAAAACGTGGAAATGGTTTGGGTAGCTCCTTCTGGCTGAACCTTGTTTTGGTAATATTTAGAAAAAAAATATTCTGTTGTTTTTATCCCCTCAGGATGCTTTAAGGGAAAAAACGCTTTGACTGAGGTGCTCCCCCCAACACCCTTCAAGTAGTTTAGCTGAGAAGTTCTACTGGTTTTATGTACTTGAGATTTGTAAAATATACCTTTTGTTCCTCTGTTGAAACCTTCCCAAATTTGGGTCATATGCAGTCTTCTAGAAGAGACCTCATGTATTTAATACCTAAATTCTCCAAAGGCTGCACATGATGATCTGCAGCCTCGAGCTGCTGGGGAATGCAGGCAGGACTTTGCCATCCAATCGATGCTGCTGTGTCACTGCAGTCAGGAGGACAGTGAGATGTTTTCCAACCTCTGACCTTCCTTGCTCTCTCCTGGCAGCCTGGGAGGAATGAGCTGTGAAAAGCCTGGAGGCGTAAAAGAGAAGCCTTAGGGATGCCCTTGGAGAAAAAGGAGGGGGGACGAACTGAGACTTGAGCATGAAACAAGAAGCAACCGAGGTGGGAGGAGAGAGACCTGGACAAACCCGTGGTACAGAGCCCCTGGTCCCCGTGAATCCATCAGTACCTGAATGGCTGTGTGGTGTTTCCAAGGGGCTGTGCTTTTACATTTCCCAATGTGTCTTGTCTGTGTTCATCCCCAAGTGCTTTAGTCGCTGCCGTAGCGCCCGCTGAAGGCAGCGTTTAGGACGCAGCGGACAGCTGAAGAGGTTGGGCTGCCGGCGCCTGTTCTCTTTCTCTGCCTTTAATGTGTTCTGCTGAAGCCCCTCACCTGCTCTCTCTGCTCCAGAGCCCATGAGGTTGGCAAGGGACCCTCCAACCCAGTTTGACCCAGTTGTGGTCGCCAGTCGCCTGCGGCGGATGGGGGACCAGTGCAACATGGATTTTGAAAGGGTTTCCTCAGAGGCTCTTGTTGAAGTGCTCAAGGGAAAGGTAAAGCGCAACTTGTCCTGCCTGGCCTGGCCTGTTCCTCATCCATGGGCCAGCCCTGGGTGGGAGAACAGCAAAAGCCTGGGGAGCAGCATGGCTTACGCCACGGATTTTGGGCCAAGACTTACTTATCACACTGTCATTTAAAAAGAAGCTCAAGCTGCCCTCTCGATTCCTGCAGATGGAGAAGTTTGGGGCTGCTGTGGACTCTCTGAGCCGGTGCTGGAGTGACCAGAACCCCGAGCTGGTCTACGAGAGAGCTTTTCTCTGTGTTTCTGTGAAATTGCTAATACATGTTGCTAAGAAAGTCCCAACTGTGGTGCGTCCCAGCCACCTCATAGAAGTGATTAATGGAAATTCTCAAGTGAGGAACTACATTGAGGCCTGTGGCGGATGGGTAAGGATGAAGGTGAAGGTGGTGGTGATGTTTGCCTGAATGTTTATGGCTCTTCCTTTGTCTCTCTCACCTCTCCCGCTTGCCTCGCTCGGCTCGTCACTGATACCCAGCGCGTCACCCGGGTGTGCACCCGCTAACCCTGCCTGTAGCCCCGGGAGTGGGGCTTTGCTGAACACCTCTTCATGGCTTCCTGCAGTCAGCATCAAACTTCCCATCTGCTTCTCTGTCTCAGGGTTTAATTCCTTATCTCGGTATCTTGGGAGCTCGACATGCTCCCTGAGATGAGAAACAACATAATGAAGGATGGGCTGTACAAAAAGCTTTACAGACCCCCCTGGGTGGGTTTCGCCAGGGGAAGGGATGAAGCTGGTCTGGGAGGGGGTCGCAGCAGGAGGCAGGTCCCTCGTCCCTCCCTCCTGCATCCTTCTCTTCCTGCCAGTTCCTTTAAACCTGCTTTGAATTCTTTCTCTCAAACACATACACATGGGGTTTTTGTTTGTTTCCAGGAGAACTTGGACAACTGAAAGAAAAGGGTACACCACTTTCCAGAAGGTGAAGATGGGTTTTCATTGATGTAACTGGGAGAAATGCTGTTGTATCTCTTCAGGAGACTGCAAGCAGAATTCTACATATGAGCAATGTGTAAAAGAGATTCTATGTCACTATAAGCAACGATTAATAAATGTTTGTTGTTATTTATTTGTTTTTCTTCTTGTGTTTCTCTTAAATTTAGCCATAAAAGCAGGCTTCACTCTTATTCAGGGTTTCTAGGTTAGTGCTCAGTGCTGCAAACTCATCGGGTGAGTGTTTGTTTTAAAACACATTTCCATTAGCTAGTCTAAAGATCTCTCTGTTCCTCTCAGGTGATTCAAAGGCTTATTTTTGGAAAATTAAAATTTGGCATTATGTTAAACAGAGTGTCGGCTCTTTCAGAGGGATCCGCAGCCCTTTGCCTTTTAGCAGCTGGATACAGAAATCTTGTAGCTATTCTGTACCCGACTTGTGAGAAGACACAGAAGGGGAACACCCTGAATGACTCTACACACTGAATGATTCTAGTTACAACCGGAAAGAGACAGACCTGGTACAGCCAGTCTGAAGTCTTGCACAAAATGGGAGACACTGGAAAGATCAAGGTTGTGATTCGCCCACCTTTTACCATTTTTTGCCTTTTGGACGGTTGTTGATTTTAGTTTAGTTTAGTTTTCCCCACTTCTGTGAGTAGAGCAAATAGGTGGCCTTTGAGAAATTAGCATCTCCTTCCCACTTCAGAATGACCTCCCTTTGTCCGATGGGTTTTTTTAGAGTACCTGGAAGTGTTACTGAGGGTGAGTGAGGCGAATTGGGCTGCCATCATTAACTGGATTTCTATAGTCTACTGGAGTCAGATTTGACCCTCTCTTCTGGCACAAGCTACCAGAGCTGCAGCATGTCAATAGGTTTCCTCTGCTCAGGAGTGACTGTGCAGTTCAGGGGAACAACAGGCACCAGCCAGGCTCAGGTGGGCACCATCTGCCTGAAGTGTTCTTCAAAATACGGGGCAGGTAATGTGGAAAAGAGGCTGAGCTGTAAGCGGCTGTGGGGTGCACGCCAAGGGCACATGGTGTTCAAAGGAGGTGCCAAGGCCCCAGGTTGGCTGTTTTGTTTTGTTGTTTGACCACAATATCTGTTACGTACTAATTTCCTTTAAGGACTGCGATGAAGTCAGTAAACCACAGCCTGCTGCGAGCGCTCTCTGGGCTGCTGCTTTCCGCTGCCGCTCGCACTTGACATGTCCCTTCC